CGGTACATGTATCCTGATGTGATTTAACAGCAGAAATACAATTCTTTTAACACTGATTACATGTATAAAAACTAAGAGTGAACAACATATCAAGGACCAAGCCACGCAAAAAGTTCCAACAAAAAATGTTTGCTAACTACAGATAACTTCTGTACCTTGGTAATTTTGCAAGGCATTGCTGTAAACACCATTTTTCCTTATCTAAGCAAAGGCATGCCAACCCAAATGCTGTATGATGCATTGTAAATATCCCTCCTTGTACAATGTAGCAGGTCATGAGCTAATTTTTGGAAGATATACGTATCCTACGGTATGTACATGTGTATAAGTAAAAATGCTCCACACATGTACATCATGTTCAAAGCAAGCTCACCGCCATCACTACCAAGCCACTGCCTACTCCCATACATACACTGTACATGTATTAGCGGGTCACTGTTAATTATTAAAGCCATTTCTCCCAGTAAATTATAATCCTATGGCTGTTTAGTGCTTTAAATTCAATTTTCTGTGCCAGTAGCTGGTGTTGTACATGTGCATTACATCTACATGTCTGTCATTCCAGGGGGAACAAATAATAACTAACACAAAAAACCGACAGGGACGTACGTGTATGCAGTAGCTTGTTTTTTTTTCAGCCACAAACAATATTGATTAGTTCTGCGTGCAAGTGAGATTATGCCAAGATGGCCTTCTAATACTCCAGTTGCTATGGCAACTGATTGGGCTGCGTAAGCAGTGATTACGAAGTAATTCGGATTTATTCATGGCATAACAGCAAAGTTGTCATGTAGAGCGAAATTTTCAAGTGGGCTTTTGACTTGCAGAAGAAGGTCATGGCTGCACAATGTTAAACTGGATTAAAAAGGGCCCAAAAAATCCAATTTGAGTGCATGTGGGAGTACATGTAGCATTGTCAAAACAACTAGCAGGTGATTGTGAACAGCACACAACACTCAGTACAAACATTTCGTGCTGAGTGCTGTTAAAACAACGACCTACTTAGTGTACATGTACACTGTACAGTACCCAGGTATGTCTTATCTTCTGGCAGCAGACACTCCATGTAGTTCAAGTAAATGTATCAGTGCATACAGATCTCATACACAACTACATATATTTGCCAGCACATACATGTACATGTACATGTACATGTACATACATGCACATGTACATGTACATGTATGTACAAGAAACAAGTGCAAAATTATAACCAGCGGACAGACCACTTTCAGTATTTGACTGTCCAAAAGGCAAAGCAGATACTGTACATGTACAAGTATGTAGTCAGACAAATGTCTGAAGGAAATAAAACGGTTAAAGTCCCAAAGGCAAAATCCAGTTAATGTTTTTTGCAGCTTTCTAATTGCACTGTATCAGAGCTACGCAGCAAGCAAAGAATTACTAAGCAACATATGCAGGAATCACTGAACTGGCTTGTGTAAAGATCGAGAGCAAGGAAGAATCTGCCATATTACAAGTGTTGCAAAGTACAAATTTGATCTCTCCTCGACCAGTACAAGGTCACCAGAAAAACCTATTTCACACACTTCACAATTTGTACAAAAATCTATGCTTACATGTACCGTACATGTACTCATACATACCTGTAGCTTAATGTTTGAGATTCTTTCTGTTACCCTAATAATGGCCCATGTCAAAAGAAATGACTGCCATCCACTTTTGCTTATTTCTTCTCGATGTCAAGCCTGACATCCATGAATCTTTGGAAGTTTGGTACAAGTACTTAAGCAAATTACAGGTGGTATAATTCCATGTTTGCTCATCTGGGAATTACTTGCTGTTGCTATCCTGAATGAATGCCAGGACTGACTACAATGACATTTTTGGAGCATATTTTGCACTATTCAGACTTACATGTACATGTAAACTCAGAACTAAACCATACAAGTACATTCCGCCAGAAACATTGACTCAATTATTACATGTACATGTAACTAAATAAAAGCTCAAATCTAAACCTACCAAATACACGTATACATGTAGTTGGAGTTAATTAGGGGGATATGGAAATTTCAAGTTGGACAGGAATGAGAATACAAGTACGTGTAATTTGTAAATTGCATGTACGTGTGGTCACGGACAAAGTACATGTACCAGCCACACTTATACATGTGTTGTTCACTGAACTGCATGGGCACAGCCAGCACGGTGTCCACAATCATTGAATCAATGCCAATTTTCATGGAGTTGAGATTCAAACCACACATTCAGAATTTGCTCTGCTCACTAGCCTGTCATGCATGTACATGTATGTACATGTACACATGTATACCGGAACATCAACAAATAGCCGGTTGATAGCAGTTTCTACATGTACATAACATTTGACTGAGTGAGGTCAAATGCGATTGTGAGTGTTGATTTGGTGAAAAAATTGTTAGGTAAATACTACTTTTGAAAAAAAAAAACTACACATATTTCTTTCTAATCTGTGAAATTTGAGGTCAAGTACATGTAATTGCTGTACCAAGGGTTTGGAGGTAAAAAATCAGTCTGCCACATCATGGGCCTTGTCAGTAGGCCCAGTGTACACATGGAGAGCTTGAAGGCAGAACTTACATTCATCATTTGCGGCTGTCCAAAAAGTTGATAAACTTTCCGCTGAAAAAAAACCTTGGTTTTAATATGGTCACAACACTAAACCTCCTGTCAAACTATTCTTTCTGGCAAGTTGTCATTTCGAAGAGAACACTGAAAGACCATTTTTTTTTTATTTCTGCAAAATGTGGGCAAGCATTGACAAGATGCCCATGCAGTTACTATGAATCTAGTCCCAGAAGCTTGGACTCTATGAATTGCCTTTTTCAACATTTTGACGTGGCCGGGCAATAGTAACATGTATGATAGTTCAAGTATTCTTCATAGGCTTTTCTTTCCATGAATTGATTTCACTCAAAATAGCTCGTACATTGTCACACCCCCAAATCAAAATCATAAGAGTTAACCTCCAAAATGGTCCTTAAACTGGCTTCTGCACCCACCTTAGGATTCAATGGGAATTGGAGGATCCAATGATGATTGTAAAGTATATTTACATGTAGGAAGAATGGAGAAATTTCCAATTTACATCGGAAATCTTGTGCCTTGGATAACTCGTACCATGGACAACTTGTTCCATCAACTGAACATACATACTGAAAAGGAACAGCAAGAAAGTTACAACCGAATTGCAAACATGAAGGTACGAGTGGTCTTAACTCAAGGTACAAGTTGCCCAAGACAAGAGCTGACTCGCACTGGGCAAGCTAGTGAACCATTCACAATAATATGTGGTGTCTGCAAGCGCGTGTCAGTGACTTTTTCCTGAGCAGGGCTACATGTATATTCAGTCGCTGTGACTAAATTGAGTTATACATCAGAAGTTGCACTGCTCAAAAAACAGTCATTGGCATGCATGTGCTGTTGATTTGAAAATTTTTATTTGAAATTGAGATCCTAATAATGTTAAGATACTTAAACACAACTCTCTATGACATTTGGGAGCTTTGTGACATTTAACAGTGAAAACAAACAGCTACATGTACATTACGGCAAGGCTGTGACCTCAGGTTGCGAAAACTCCCAGATGAAGGCATAATTAAACATGATAAAGTTGCATCCATTCACAGAGCCTAGCCCTAGGCCTATTATTAATTAGCCTATTTTCTGGGAAAACATGTATGATTCACAGGGCTTAGTAAAACATCATCAGGTTAGTTGTTCAGCACCCTTTTTTTGATTATGAGAACAAATAATGTAGGCCTGATTTTCTCTGTGATTAATTATGTTTTAAAAAATGGTCCTGGGCTTATAAATAGAAGTAACCACCGGTACATTGGAGGCTGTAGGCTAAGCTAGACCCAGCAAGCCTACTTAGCCCAACGTTGGATCCCACAGCTAGGCTAAGTGGGCTTGCTGGGTCTAGCTTAGCCTACGGCCAAGTCCGCCCATGGGAGCGGGGCGGATGTTGGGTCCCACAGTTCTGAGGGTAGCAGGGCGGACGTCGGACCCCCCAGTTCTAAGGGTACACTTAGTCATGTTAGCTTCCAAAAGATTAGGAACACAAGAAACACCAACAGTCATAGGTTAACTACATGTAGTACTGATAAGTACATGTACAAGTAACCTGTAACACAACAGCATGAACAAGATGAACGTGAACTAACCCAGGTTGGACGTCATCTACATGCAGGATGGCATTGCAACTAACGTCCAGGTATTACAAATCCTTCTACGATGCGAAATTTTTTTCAACATTGTTTTTTCTCACATTTTTACCTGGAAAAGACATCCAAAGTGTCGTTCACAAGTGCCTTGTATCCCAAACTCCATCAATGCTGTGTTGAAATTACTAAATACGCCAGCGGACAACGCATTTTGCCGGTAATTTTACGAAACTCCACACCTTCCGTTGCGGTTGGTGTACAACCTACATTCATTTAGAAGGCCTAATACATATTTGCGCATGCTTAAAATTGCTTCCACACTCAGCCCACATTGTGTCAGTTATGTGTCTATAGCTAGGCCCCTAAGTCTAGGTCTTTGCTCAAATGGAAATACGTGGAGATGCGCAAACAGATCTAGTCGTAGCTTTGGAAACCTGTCTCAGACACGGCCTAATCTGTGACTTCTTCGTGCCCACAGCACTCCGCGCATGGTTACTATGTATTCCATGCATGTGCAAGTATACATCCTAGCCGAATGTAGATCGCAACTGAAAGCGTGGAGTTTTACAAAACTTCCTGCAAAATACGTTGTTCGCGCGCTTATTTACATGATTTGGTGTTAATTCCAACACAGCATTTATGGAATTCGGGATACAAGGCACTTGTGAACGACATTTGAGCTGTCTTCGCTAGGTAAAAAAACAATTTCGCATTGCAGGACTTTATACCCTGGACGTTAGTCGCAATGCAATGCTATTAAGCAGACGCGACGACGTCCAACCTGGGCTAACCGTGAACATCTGACATGACATCAGACGATGCAAAGGATACAACTTGAAACCTTCCATAATTCGTTCCGCTCTGGTAGGCATTTTGCTGGCTCAGGTGAAAAACACTGGATCACTAGTAATACGAGATGTTCCGCTATGATGAGAAAAACCAACAACGCTAACTTCGGGAAACCGAAACCGGCATGACATTCACAGTAACACGAACACGATAGGCCTAACGTAAAATGGAAACCAAGGAAGCGCAAGCTTTCTTCAGGGAGTTCAGTTTTCTAACGTACAGGTGATGTCAGAAGGAACTCTGTATGTCCTTTCTCCAGAACTTCTCATCTGCTTCTTGATACATCATTAGCATCAAATACTGAACTTTTCTCTTGTAACGTAAGTTAATTAGATCAAAATAATTTTATCTGAAAGCCTTTATATATGTCTGAAATACTTGTTCGAAGCATAAAATACCACGCAACCCCTTAGTCGGATACCCAAGATCGGGTTTTATGTCTTTATAGGGTGTACATGTCAGGGTATTGACCCAGTGTAATATATCATTCCGCCAGCAAACTGCCTACTCAAAGAATGGCACATTCAGGCTGCAGACGACAAGGATTTTTGTTGCAGCTCGACCGTGACGTCATCAGCAGGATGAATGATTTTTGTTCTGATTTGGATGTTTTTAAAAGAAATCGATTTGCCTTTGCTAGGCTAGGTGTGATGTACAACAAGTTTAAAGTCTTGTGTCTAGTATTGCCTAGTTTCCCAGCTGGGGATCTTAAAGCTGCTCTCAAAGTTCCCTTAGTCGGGCTGCAGCTTGGAACAGGAGAGCTAAAGATCATCAAGATGAACTTGAATTTGAAATATATTCCCAATTTGGTTATTTTTTAACACTTTTAATTACAGCAGTAACTTCAAATGCTCTGTCTGTGCCCTGAGCGGCCAAGATCGTAGCGCTCAGCATGGTGCAGGACTGAGCTGAAAGTATCATTTCTGAAGGGGTACATGGGGTGGGCCGTGTAGAGTGCTCTGGGGTGAATTTGGAGGTACATGTATTTTAATTCATAATGAACTTGTTATTTTCTTCCCCTTTCCTTCTTTCTTTTTCTTTTGTTTTGTTTCAACTTTTTCCAGGAGTGGTCAATTCCCTCCGATCCCACATTGCCTATCGGCACTGTAGAAGGTCTATGAAAAAGGCCTACAAAACTACATTTTGCACAACTTGCCATAGCGTTGTCATACATAATGAATTTAAGTGACATTCAAAATCACAATTCCCAAACCCACAGTTTCGGTCGATTCTTCTGAGGTAATGTACACAATCCCGTTCAATATGACATTACAGATGGGATTATTCGTAGACGTAAACCTTTTAGATTTTTGTTAACTAGAGGTGTCATTTTTAAAGCTGATGTAACTCAGAATATGATTTTAATTTCTTGTCCGACGCCGCTTGCGCACCAGCTGGAGCGACGAGAATGGCATGTGCAAAGTATATGCACTAATCATGCCAATACATGCGATCCGAAAGAAAATGCTACAAGGTGTCTTGATATTGAATTCTGGAATTAGAAATTACTCTCCGTGTTGGCGTAAGTAGCTTATTCCTGTATACGTGATAAGTTCGACATTTTTGTAAATATTGCCCCATAAAATGTTTCAGTTCAAGTGTTGCAGATAATTCTGAAACCTTACTCCCAGTTGTTTTTCTCCTGCGAATTTTGAGTAGCAAAACTAGCTTCCGTCATCCTATTAAGTCCTTATAATTGGTTCATCTTGCCATATTGATATAAAGGGGAGACTAAGTAGGGATTATATTTATCTGCGCATTTATAATTGGTAGTAAGTGATACATTTCGTAACACATTAACACCGTTGGGGGCGTATCATATCAGCACTACTTGCTATGTTGCCTAGTATATGGTACAGTGTCAGTGTCGTTGTTGGCCCCGAGATAGAGTACTCACACTTCTCAGTAAAGTGCGAATCGCACACAAGCCGTGTGCTGTTGAAGTCAGACTGAATTCTACCTGGTAGGTACCCATATTATGTCTAAACATAACTTAAAACCCCGGTCATGGTCCCAAACAATGCTGCACTTTTCGACGCGTTCGATATTCATTTCCCGTGCAAACAACCCATGTGATGATGATGGAGACATGGAATTGGAGGTAGCCTTGGGGTCCGGGGGCCAGTCCACTAATTCAATCCCCATTGAAAACACTGTAAAATCAGCGCCGTTCAGGGCCCAATAGCATGC